TAAGTAAGGCCCTCAATTAAATGTCTTCCTTTAAGAGTTGTTGTGGAATGGCAGAAAGACACTTAAAGAAAGGCTCAACATCCTTAATCATCAGGGAAATGCAAATCAAGACCACTCTGAGATTCCATCTTACACCCATCAGAGTAGCTAAGATCAAAAACACCAATGACAGCTTATGCTGGAGAGGATGTGGAAAAGAAGAACATTCCTTCATTGCCAGCCAGAGTGCAAACTTGTACAGCTGCTGTGGAAATCAGTATGGAGATTTCTCTGAAAATCAGGGATCAACCTAGCTCAAGATTCTGCAATACCACTGTTGGGCATATATCTGAAAGAGGCACATTCACACCACAAGGACATTTGCTCAGCTATGTTCATAGCAACATTATTTGTAATAGCCACATCTTGGAAACAGCCTAGATGCCCCTCACCTAAAGAATGGATAAAGAAAATGTGGTACATTTACACAATGGAGTACTACTCAGAAGTAAGAAACAATGACATCCTAAAATTCACAGGCAAATGGACAGAACCAGAAAAACCATCTTAAGTGAGGTAACCCAAAACCAGAAAGACAAATATAGTATGTACTCACTCATAAGTGGATACCAGACATAAAGCAAAAGATACGTAGCCTACAATCCATAACCCCAGAGAAGCTTGAACCCTCCTCCAAGAAACAGATGGAAGCAGATACAGAAATCCTCAACTAGCCTGAAAAGGAACACAACCATATACAAGATATGGTTATTGGTGGTATATTATAAATGATAACAGTGAAAAAAACTCACACATGTAGCAGATAACCAGATTTGGCATTCGGAGAAGCCCAGACACAAATGCCTCCAACAGCTGGCCTGAACCCTGAGACAGGAGGAGCACCTCCTCCCCTTGCTCTTTATCCTACCCCTCCACATACCTGTGATCATGCCCAAATGGGCATGGTCAGCAGTACAGGTATCCAAGATCTCTCCCTACACTAAGCAATGGACCAAGATCCTGGAGTACAATCGAAGTGAGGGAGGAGCGATAATATGAACAAAGGAGTGAAGACCATGGAGGAGAAACCCACAGAATCAGCTGACCCAAGCTAGTAAGAGATCACTGAGCTAGGTCTAACAAATGGGGAACCTGCATAAGGCCAAACTAGACTCCCTTAATATAGGTGACAATGGTGTGACTGGGACAATATATGAGACCACTGGCAGTGGATCCAAGATCTAACACTAATGCACAAGCTGAGTTAGTGGAGTCCATTCTATATGGAGAGATACTTTGCAAGCCTAGACACAGGGTGTGGGGTGGAGAGGTGCCTTGGTCCTGCCTCAAGGAGATGATGGGACAGATGTAGTAGACTTCCTATGGGAGTCCTTACCCTCTCCATGGAGCAGATGGAAGGAGGGGGGATGTGGAGGGTTTGGGAGAAAATGAGGGAGGGGAACTGGGATTGGAATGTAAAAAAATTAATTTAAAAATGATCAAAATAAATAAATAGATAGATAAAAGAGTTGTTGTGGTCATGGTGTCTCTTCACAGGAATAACAACCCTACTAAGACACCTTCCCTTAAGATGAGAAGAAGAAGAGGAAGAAGAAGAAGAAGAAGAAGAAGAAGAAGGAGGAGGAGGAGGAGGAGGAGGAGGAGGAGGAGGAGGAGGAGGAAAATAAGAAGGATTATACCTAGCATAATTCAGGGTTCTCTAGAAGAACACAACCTCTAGAATGAATGTATGTTATAAGAAGGGAATAGATTAGCTTCCATAATATGGACTTGGTAGTAGAATAGTTGCTGTAAGGAGGTATCACTATCTCTGATTTCAAGTTGTACTACAGAGCTATAATAATAAAAACAGCATGGTTGGGGAACAAAAACAGGTGCATTGGTCAATAGAAACAAATTGAAGACCCAGACAAAAATCCAAAAAACTATGGACACCTCGATTTTTGTTTATGAAATAGAAAGAAATACACAGTGGGAAAAATACAAACAAACAGAATCTTCAGCAAATAATGCTGGTCAAACTGTATGCTTGTATTTAGAAGAGTCCAAATAGACCCATAATTATCACCCTGCACAAAACTCAAATCCAAATGGATCAAAGACCTCAACATAAAAACAGACACACTGAGCCTGATAGAAGAGAAAATGGGGAATAGCCTTTAACTCATTGGCACAGGTAAAGACTTTCTGAACAGAACACTGTTAGCATAGGCACCAATCTCAACAATTAATAAATGGGACCTCATGACTGAGAAATTTCTGCACGGCAAAGGACACTGTCATTCAAAGAAAGTAGCAGCCTATAGAATGGGAAAATATTTTTACCAACTACATATCCAATAGATGGCTAATACCTAAAATATATAAAGAATTCTAGAAACTAGATATCAAGAAAACAAATAACCCAATTAAAAATATGTTACAGATTTAGTCTCAATAGAGGGAATTCAAATGGCTGAAAAACTCTTAAAACAATATTCAACATCCTTAGCCATGAGGGAAATGTAAATAAAAACTACTTTGAGATTTCATATTTTACCAGTAGAGCGGCTAAGATCAATAAATCAAGTGACAGCTCATGCTGATGAGGATTTAGAGTAAGGAGAACACTCATCCATTGCTAGGGGGACTTCAAATTTGTACAGCCACTATGGATATCAGTGTAGTGATTCTTCAGGAAGATGAAAATCCCTTTACCTCAAGAACCCAGTATACCCCTCGAGCACACACCTAAAGAATGCTTCATCCTATCACAGAGACACTTATCCAACTATGCTCATTGCTGCTCTATTCATAACAGCCAGGAAATAGAAACAACCTAGATGTCCCTCAATAGAATAATAGATAAAGAGTATGTAGTACAATTACATTATGGCATATTACCTAGCCAGTTTTGTTAAAAAAAAATCATGAAATTCCCAGGCAAATGGATGAATTAGAAAAATCCATCATGAGTGAGGTATCTCAGAACTAGAAAAGCAAATATGCTATGTATTCACTTATGTATGGATATAAGCTATAAATCAATGGTACCAAGCTACAATCTGTAGAACCACAGAGGTTATGTATAGAGTAAGGGAATAAGGTGGATAGATAGATTTCAACTGGAAAGGAAAATAACAATTACAGTCATAGATGGATTGTGGAGCTGGAACACGAGGATCAAGTGCAGAGAGGCAGGGAAGGAGATGAGGAAGTGAATACAGGGAGAACAGTAAAATTAAGGGCCATTTGAGGGATAGTATGGTAATCCAGTAGAAGCTTCCTAAAATATACTACATTTATGAAGACAATATAAATGAACTTGACCAAAAAATGGAGAGACAGAGTCCCAACTGGCTATCTTTTGTCACCAAATGAAGCTTCCAGAACCAGGATTAGGTTATATCTAACTAAGTTGTTGGCCAAAGGGGTCCCATGAAAACCCCCAAACAACCCAGGCTGTTGCCACAGCTATGGGTTTCTCTCCACAAACTAATTGCAAGGCCCCATTGCTGAAGACAACACCTACACAACTCATTTAACATGAAGAAGTCAAGCTGATGCCTACATAAAGCCTTCACCTCTACATTCCAGAATCTTTGGTACAGGAAGGTATTTTGCATGCTACCAAAACAGAAAAATAAACACTGTGCCAGCTACAAACCCTTCGATATACAATGGTGTCCTATCTGCAAGCTCTGCTAGGGCAATGGTAGTACAAATCTTGTGGGAGAAACCAACCAATATCTGATTTCACTTAAGGCTCACATCTTGAGATGGAACCCATACTGGATACTGCTTGGGTGATCAAGAACCTGAGACCAGATAACCAAGAGACCTAGGGGGAAAACCAAATAATACTATTCTAGACAAACAAGCAACAAACAAAACAATAACAACAACAACAACAACAAAACCCTAGCAATAAAATGACTCCTAATGACATTCTGCTGTACTCATAGATCAGTATCTAGCTCAGCCATCATCAGAGAAGCTTCCTTCTACAGCAGATGCAAACAAATGCAGAGATGCCAGACATTGCAGAGAGTAAAAGACCTTGGAACACTCAGCCCTAAACAGGATGTCTCCATCAAATCCATCCCCCTCTGGGTGCAGGGAACCCTGTGAAAGAGGGAGCAAAAATAGTGTAAGAGCCAAAAGGGATCGAGGACATTAAGAAAACAAGCACCTCTAAATCAACATGATCAAAGCTCATATGAACTCACAGAAACTGAAGCAGCATACACAGCACCCACACAGGTCTGCACCAGGTCCTCTATGTGTATATTATGTCTTCCAGATTACTGTTTTTAATGGGACTCCTGGGTGTGCAGAAGAGTTGGTCTCTGATTCTTGTGCCTTCTCTTGGGCTCCTTTTCTTTGTTGGTTTGTCTTGTCCAACTCTGACATGTTAGTTTTTGTTTTATATTATAGTCCTTTAGAAGTCTGTTTGGTTTCTTTTTTTCTGAACGTATTTTTTTATAGGTCCTTTGGGTATATAACATCATGTACTCCAATCCCACTCATTTCCCACTTCCTCCAAATCTGCCCTTCACCCTCTTGGGTATGCTGCTATTGCCCAGAGTCACTGTTAGACTCCCGGAAAACTCAGGCCTCCGGGGTCTCAGCCCAGGACCATGGTCACCCCAATCACCAGGCAGATTCGAAAGCTTGATGCAGACAGCACGAGGCTTTATTGTTGTTTAACGAGCTAACCCCATGTTAGCTCGAGTCTTTCACCCACCTGCCATGGCAGATGGCTAGCAAAGACAGCTCAAAGGGGCTGCATAGAGATCTTGTAGGGCAGCATAAGGGGAGTGTCTAGGGGTACGCACAGGCTCAGGATTGGTGTGCCTCCAGGCTTGGAGGGCTTGCCCTGTGTTGATTGGTCAACTGGTTGTTATGGCCCATAGGCCCTCCTAGGGTGGTTGTTATGCTCTGCGCATCATTGCTATGCATTTGTCTGTAAAGCATACTCCAGAGCCATAAAGCATAGTGCCACCAGATAACTTCTGATTGGTTCCTTGCCACGAGGCAGGCACCTAACCTCTAGTGACCAAGGTGAGGTCAGAAAAGCACGTGTTACTGTCATGGCTGCTGAAATGGGGAGCTGGTCCCGTCATTATGAAGATCCTGCAACTCTGATTCCACAGGACCAGTCACTTCACACTCTAGCAGGTCATAGATAGGGGAGATGTTGGAGCGGGCCTACTCAAAGCCCTGGATGTGAGTCTGGGTAGTAGCTGAGTTGGTCAGTCCGTTCCTTTGGGACCCTCCCCTCAGATGAGGGGCAGAGGCAGCTCTCCTGCATCTGCGGTGATGGTGGGGATAGCTCTTCAACTATAGCAGTGTTGTGCCCAAATTCTGAAACCCCTAAATCATCCATTTCAATGCAAAAGCAAAGAGTCTTTTATTATTGTTTAATGAAGCTTGGGGCCTTCATCCGTTCATCATGGCTGGTGACTGGAGAAGGACCCCCAAGAAACCACGAGGCATGGGAGGGGCAGTGTTATGAAACAGTCTCAGGATTGGTGTGCTTCCAGGCTTTGGGCAACCTGTCCTGTATCGATTGGTCAACTGGTTGCTATGCCCTATAGGCCCTCCCAGGGTAGTTGCTATGCTCTGCACATCACTGTTGTACACTTACATGTAAAGCACACCCAGAGCTGTAAAGCACCGCCCTGCCAGTTAACTTCTGATTGGTTCCTTACCACAAGGGTATCTGACCTCCTAGTGAGTAGGACAGGAGGGGTAAGGTCAGGAGAGCACATGTTAGCCTGTCATGGCTGCTAACAGGGGGCTGGTCCCCTCAGCAGCAAGGTGTGTGGGGGGGCGAATGGGGGGCAGGGGGCAGGACCAGATCTCAGAGGGCCATTGAGGGGCAGGGGCCAGCTCAGCACAACCCTTAGTTTTCAACATGCCTGGTTTGCATGGTCCCTGGTGGTAACATGGGCCATGAACATCAACACAGACCCCAGCTGCAGCTAGACCACAGCCCTTGGCAGCAGGTTGAGCCTGGATATTACCATAGTCCTAGGAGGCATCACAGGCCACTCAGATCAGTATGACCCCAGTAGCAGCATGGCTCTCAGACACTAACATGGTCTCAGGTGTCAGTACAGATCCTGGGCACCTGTATGGCCTTTGGTAGTAATAGGAGTCATGGACATCAACACACACCCTGGCTGCTGTAGTGCTACAGACCCAGACATGACCCTTGGCAGCAGCCCAGGCCCTGACGTCAGCATGACCCTGGGTTGCAGCAAACACCACCCAGATCTGCATGACCTTGGCAGTTGTATGGCCCTCAGACACCAACATGGTATGAGGTGGCAGTCCAGACCCAGGCATCTGTGTGGCCTTTGGTGGCAACATGGGCCATGCCCATCCACACAGGCCCTGGCTGCAATAGGATCATGAACCCAGATATTGGTCCTTGGCAGCAGCCTGCACTGGAAAGTCACCATGGCCCCAAGTGGCAGTGCAGGTCACTCAGATGAACATGGCACAGTAGTAGCATGGCTCTTGAACACCAACATGGCCCCAGGTAGCGGGCAGACCCTGGACATCTGCATGGTCATCAATGGTAACAGAAGTTATGAGCCACAGCCATCCACACAGATCTAGCTGTGATAGGGCCACTGACCCAGCCTCGGCCCAGACATCACCGTGGCCCTGGGTAGCAGCACAGGCCCCTCAGATCAGCCTCTTCCTCACTGCTTTCACTTCTTCAGATCTGGCTGTCTCCACAGCATGTGAACCACTCCACTTCTCTTTCTCTCTCTTCTTCACTGTATAGTTGTTCATTGTAATGGTGCCTGCCTGCCCATTGCCTCAAGGCCTGTGGGTTTTCAGTCAGCCTGGAGCTAGAGGCACCAGGTGAGCTTGTGGGTGTCTTCTGATCAATTCAAGTCATGAACTGTTCAGGAGCAATCAGATCACTCACCTGGGAGTTTTGTCCGGACCAGACCTTATATGTAAGTCCATTCCATCTTGCCAGGAGTTCAGAGAGTTCAAATCACTCCTATTGTCCTTCAGATATTAGCTTAATAGCTGCTGGATGCCCTGGCCTCCGTGGTGAATGGCTCCTATCTAAATAACAATAGACTTGGGGACAGTGGGGTTTATTCTCACCCTGAGGCCAGGAGATACATGCAGCTATGAAGTTCCTGAAGGCCAAGTAGTACATGCAGCTATTAGCGTCTTTAGGATTAAGGGAAGTAATTGTTATTTGCCCTTTATACATGATAATAAAAGTCTTCTGCCATTGTCCCCACCTTTGGTTGATTACTTAAGATGGTGTATGAGTAAACTGAAGCACATTCAGTATGGACTGAATCTGCCCTCTTCACACTATCATATGTCTCCATCTTTCCTTTAACATCTATAGCTAGACTTTCCCTCATCCACACTCCACCACTCAGGAATGGACCTGGAGCTGATCATCTGGTCCCAACTGCAGCCTCACAAACACCAGTCTGTGACAGAGTCTGCCCCCAACTGACAAACAGTAAAACATACTGGTTTTTTTAAACTAGCAATGGGTCTGTGGCTTCTCTGCCTCAAGCTCTAAATCAAGGGTGAACCTGTCCCAGTTTTCAGAGTCACAGTCTCCACAAAGCTATGTGTGATTGAAAGACCCCCCCATAGGGTGAGACCCTGAGGTGACCATCTGGGAGTGGTGACCCCAGTCACCAGGAGGAGGAGAGAACTTGATGCAAACAGCGAGAGGCTTTATTATTCAGCAACCGACGCGCACCACGAGTGGGGCCCAGCATGTAACTTACACAGGGTCAGAGGAGCTGGACCCAGAGCTGTGGTCTAAGGGCTTCTTAAAGGCAAAAACTGCAAACAGATGGGGTCTGGGGTGAGTGAGGGTAACAGTTCTGATTGGCTCGTTCCAGGTGGCCAACCGCAATCTCTGAGCGCAATCTCCAGGCTCATGGATCCTTCAGGGTAGTTACATCTCTATCTCTGGGAACCACTTGTTAGGGTGGAATTCTTCAACCTTAATGGCTCTTTCCATTAAAGCCATAAATTCAGGTTCTCACGTATGTGCAGAGAAAACATCTTAGGCTGGGGTCCTTCAGGATCTCATTTCGTAGCGGGCAAATGAGATACCACCCAGCCAAAAGAGAAGCTTTTAAAAAGGGCAGACCATAAGGTTGGAGGCCTTAAATTACAGAGTTCCCATAGTTACTTAAGGTCATACAAAGTACAGAGTTAGTTAGTAACTATACATTTTAAGGGAGATACATTTGACTGAGATAAGACAGGGCATGGGCTTACAGGGTTACAGAGTCACTGGGTCTGTCAGTTATCCCCAGGGCTGGGGGATCTTTATGACCAGCAATTAGCAAAGAAATGTTGACAAGAGTGGTAGACAGTTATCTCTCCTTCTCTGAGAGCAGGGGATCAGGAGCCATTCATGGCACTCCTGACTTAAGGCATTAAATTTTCCTTTATCATTAGAGGTTCCCTAAGTTTTTAAACTTTTATTAATTTGAATTTTTGGTCCTTTATTGATGTAGCTGTTGTCTTTTAGTTGGGCAAAGCCATTGCCCTCTTGAACAGAACAACTGTGATCATGCACAGAAGACTTCCATGAAATACAGCCCATTAACTTTCCCTGCAGAGGGAAGAAAACACTGTTGGGGATCATGGACTTTCATGAGATTCTCATCAAGCCCCCACCCCCACCCCATGGTTTTATAAGAAGTGAACAGTCAATAGTGATGGGGATGGGAACTCTGGTACCTTCACTTTCAGTAGTGTAGCTGTGCTTATAAGTTGTCTAGATGACTTCCCAGTGGTACCAGGCTTTGAGTCACCCAGGTATTTATGGGTTTACCAAGATAGAGCTGGACAGAGTTCTTTACTCAGCTGGTACCCACTCTATCTGGGGTAACAAAGCATTTTTTTACACCTCCCCAGGGAAACCACGAAACACCATCCCTCCAGTATATTTCCTGGGCACTTGTCCTTTGCACGATACTGAGCTTGAAGGGATCAGCTCCCCATTTCAGCAGCCATAACAGCCGAACATGTGCATGTTTGACCTTGCCTTGGTCACTAAGAGGTCAGATGCCTACCTCGTGGCAAGGAACCAATTAGAAGTTAGCTGGTGGTGCTATGCTTTACGGCTCTGGGTGTGCTTTACGGACAAGTGCACAGCAATGATGTGCGGAGCATAGCAACCACCCTGGGCGGGCCGATGGGCCATAACAACCAGTTGGCCAATCAACACAGGGCAAGCCCTCCAAGCCTGGAGGCACACCAATCCTGAGCCTGTGTGTACCCCTAGACACTCCCCTTATGCTGCCCTATAAAATCTCTATGCAGTCACTTCGAGCTGTCTTTTCTAGCCATCCGCCATGGCAGGTGGATTAAAGACCTGAGCTAACATGGGGTTAGCTTGTTAAACAACTATAATAAAGCCTCGTGCAGTTTGCATCGAGCTTTCGAATCTGCCTGGTGATTGGGGTGACCTCGGTCCTGGGCTGAGATCCTGGAGGCCTGAGCTTCTGGGGGTCTTACAAGCTGAGCAACTGGGACTGAGAGGACAGGAAGGGCTCCACTACCAGAAGAGAAACCTCTCCATCTCTCATGGAAGGAAGCTTTCCCACAGACCTCCTTCACTTACAATCTGCATCTCCTGGGCCTCCTTCCTTTCCCACTTATCTGCATGTCAAATCCTCTTCCCATCAGGCCATCCATCTGTCCCCTGGGAACTTCTCTGAATCTCCCACAGCCTATAGTAGAATGGATGTCATAGAGCAGAAGCTGAATAAATATTTATGGAATGACCGACAGAATATAATTACTCCCAGCAAAGCATATTTCCTTTATTTAGATTTATGTGAGTGTGATGTCTGAAATCATGTATGGGAACTTTTGTCAGGCAATAGTGACAGAAAATACAACCCAAATCATATCAGTGAAGGAAAGAGAATGTATTGTCTCCCATAACTAGGACATTTATAAGCACAGCCTCTGTTGGACCCAGGGGCTCAAATAACACAAAAATTGGTTTCTTTCTCTTGTCCTCAACCTACCCTTCTTGGCATCAAATTCAGATTCTATTCTCATGAAACCAAGATGGCACCAACAGTATCGAACTTTCACAGATCCCAAACCTGATATAGAGTAGAAGAAATGCAAGAAAAAGAGGTAGAGGAGGAGACCAAGGAAGACTATCTAGACTGGCTAATTAGTCTCAGTGCTTGGCTGGCTCATGGGGACATTCTGAGTTGGGGGATGAGTATTCTGACTGTCCAGACTGGGTCATGTGACTCTGTTGAGGGGAGGCTGGATCCCCAAACATAATCAGTGTACTCTCTCTAGAAGAAGAAAGGCTGGGTTAGGGAGACAGGAGTGCATCCCATTGCAACCCTGGCCTGGAACTCCAAGCATTCCCTTCAAGATATATATATATATATAATATAAATATAAAATATATAAATATAAAATATAAAATATAAATATAAAAATATAAATATATAAATATATAAATATCTTTGGTTTCTCCCTGAGCTTGGACAGCAGATCTGCACCAAAGTCTACAAAGGACAATACCCCTGTCACAATACAAATCATGTGTGGCCCACAAATTTGAATCTACCTCTACCCTACCTACCTCAGCTGCTTATGGTAGATGAGTTGGCTGGTGTACAGCTGGTGTGGCAAGCAAAGGCCAGAATGCATTTCTCCTGTGCAGACTGAGATGGTGTGGGCAGGACTTCCCTTGCCTTCCATTCACCCCACTGTAAATTATAGAACAGCAAAAAAAAGACAGCTTTAACATGCATTGCTGACCCAAAGTGAATGGTCCCCTGTGGCTCACTTCCTTTTCTGTAAAATGGGAATGAGAATCTCAGGTTAGCAGAGATGCTGCAAGGATGGAACAAGTCACAGCAGACAATATTCTGGGATTAGTAGGGGCTTGGAAATTCTTCCAAACAGGTTCCAAATAAGATGGCCTCAGGGCATCTATTACTCATCTGGGAGCAGGAGTAAAATGTGCTTTGTTCTCTCCTAACTTGTTTTTCAAATGCCAGCAACCCATTCCCTGCTTCAGCAAGGCAGAGCAGCTTGTCAGGATGCCTAATTTAAGAAATCCCTCTTAATATTACCCTAATGTAAAACGATACTTTTTCAGAAGAGTTATTGTGTGCCATGCTCAGATAGCATGAAGTACAAAAGAGACATGCATATGCAAATTAACCTTCTAAAAAGTGCACTCCAAAGACACTTTCTGAATAATGAATGTAAAGAGTGGCAAGATTATTGGTCACCCAAGCACCAAAACCTGCTTCGGAAACATCAAACATTTGTTTTCTATGTTGTTGACATTACATGAAGGGAGAGGTCATGGGGTGACATGTAAAGAGATTTTACTATTTGAAACTATTACAAGAACAGTCTCCCTCCAGCGCAGGTACATCTAGACCGGCTTAAATGTCACTAACAGTCTCAAATTTATTACAGTGGATTTGCAGGAAAAAAGGGACATAAAGGGTCTTTTTCATTAAAAATGCTCTTTGATTTTCACTTGTACCTTTGGCAGTGGAATCAGCAAGGGAGCAATTGCAGGGAATGCTGTTCTGCTGGTAGAGGGGACTCACCAGGAAGGCCCATGGGGCAGTATACACATGAAAGAGCTCCACCTCAAAGAGAAAGCTCAAACCAGCTGGCTGAGCACACTTGTAGTCACTTGGTTGATTTCTAGAAGGAAATATGGGAGTACTCACTCACCCCCATGTGGAACCCATCTTAAAACCCACTGTTGGCTGCATGTTGAGATTGCAGCCTCTACTCTGCTTACCCATCTCATAAACACTGATATTGTTGGGGCCAGGCCTGGGGCTGGGGCTGGGGCTAGGGCTAGAATTACAGTCAGAGTGAGGCAGGGCTTCAAGGAACTCAAAGGCTACGGGCACCTGGGAGACCACGGAGATGAGGCTCTTAAGTATAGAGATGAGCAAAGGACCGAGGAAACCCACCCCAGCCTTTGTGCTTAGGTCACTCCCAGTCAGTGACGATGTAGCAGTATGTACCCAGGGAGCCCCGGAGCATCCTGGGAGGCCTCCAAGGACCTGATTTGACATGAGAACTCTTCCATGAATGGGAATCTATAGAGTTTCCACCCAACTTTCCTTCTCCTCTTGTGGGTTGGGAATCTCATTGTGGCCTTTCACCCTTCCAGGCTGCCCCCATCTGTCTGCCCACTTTTTCTCACAGCTGTTTCCCACCCCCCCAAAAAAGGATCCCCTCACTTTCCCCCCTTCTCAGACCATTGGTAAGACCAAAGGAACTGGTCTTACCAATAGTCCACAGTCAAGATCCCTAATGAAAAAACTAGAGAAGAAAACACACGTGGAGCAAAGCTTGCTCTGTGCCAGGCACTGTTGAGTGCTTGGCATGGACCCGACTGTGTAGACATCAACACTCGCTAAGGAGCTACCTCTTTCAGTTCTGTGGGAGCAGAGAAGACACAAGAGGTACCAAGAGGAAGTAATGGTTGAACAGGTAAGTGGAAGAAGGAAGATCTGATCCTGTCTCCTGGATCTAGGGCCTGTGAGCTTAGTTAGTCCATGGGGCAGGAGGCCTTCACAGTCATTGCAACCTTGAGGAAACAGGATACAATGGCATGGACAACTTGGAAGGAAGAACAGTGAAGACACAAAACCTGAGGCCAGCAGAAAACAGATTCCCAGATACCTAGGCAGGGTGGCAAAGGTAGTGCTTGTGCCTGGGGCCAAGGGAAGAACTGATGTGATGATCTGCATTGAGTGTTAACCTGACAGGATCTAGGATCAGCTTGCAGACAAATGGTGGCTATGCCTGTGCGGCATTACCTCCATGAGGTTAATTAAAGAAAAATTACTTCAGTTGCAGGCAGCAGCATTCCATGGCCTGGGTTCCTGGACTGGGTTAAAAGGAGATCTTGTGATCTGAGCCCCTTTCCTTTCCTCTGGCTTCCTGACTGCAGATGCAATGTGACTGGCAGTCTTAGACTGCTGCCATGAAGACACTCCTCACACCCCCAATCTACCCCTACCCTCACCCCCACCCCTGCCCATGATAGACTGAACCTTGAACCTAAGCACCAAAACAAACCTTGCCTTCTTTAAGTGGCTTTTGTCAGGAAATTTTGCCATGGAGGAAAAAACAGTCTTAGGATTTTTGTTGCTGTGAAGAGACACCATGACCACAGCAATTCTTATAAAGCAAAACATTTACTTGGAGTGGCTTACAGTTTCAGAGGTTCAGTCCATTATCATCATGGTGGGAGCATGGTGGCCTGCAATTAGATGTGGTGCTGGAGGAGCCTGTTGTCTTGCAGGCAATAGGAAATCAACTGAGACACTGGGCAGTATCCTGAGCATAGGAAACCTCAAAGCTTGCCCCTCAATGATACCCTTCCTCCAACAAATCCATACCCACTCCAACTAAGCCACACCTCTTAATAGTGCCACTCCCTATGAGACATGGGATTATGGGAGCCAATAACATTCAAACTACCACAACAAGTAATTAATAAAGCTGTCCAAAGTTACACATCAAGAGCCAGGAAATGCTGGGACCTGATTCACGACAAACTCCCTTGGAGACCTGGCTCTCAGCTAGACCGTGTCATGCATGCTGCCATGTTTTCTTCTCCTACTAGCAATACCTCAGTTTACTTCAGGGAACTTTCACCTCCCATGCTGTAACCCTTACGTTTGGAGTATGTTTAACTTCTGATAAGACAGACCTGGCATTAAATTCTTCTTGGAGGGACAATTGGTACAGGAATGGCTTTGTCACCAGATGGAGGCAAAGAGATGTAGTGGAACTCTGAACTGACTTTGGAATAGACCCCTTCTTTCCTGTTGAACTTGAACCTGCCATCGAACATACCCAGAGCCATGAGCAGTCTATCAACTGATCCAAGAAGGAAGCCAGTACAGACCTGAGAGATGGCAATGTTGCTTGAGCTCCTACATGGAACTGAGCCTGAAGTCAGCTTGCTTGTGGAGTAACTGGTAGCTCTGGGCAGTGAAATTTTGTTTTAGACTACACTCAGGTTGGAATATACAGTGGAAATGCCTTTGACTGTCCAAGTATGCTCTCCCACCCTTTATCTCTGTCCCCTAACTTTCCTGACAGACTTCATCCTGGCAACAAAGGTCCCAGAATTCCCTATAGATGGCCAGAGTCAGGACATGGTCAGAGCCTCAGTAGACTGCTGGCCATCTCCCAGCAACTGCTAACCATGGACAATCTGCTAAAGGGACTCAGACTGACCACTAATTCCAGAGGTTCCTGCAGTGACAAGTAGCAGGGCTCCCCTGTCCAGGACTCTGCTCTCCTTAGCAGTCCCTCTTGGTAGTGGATAAAAGGAAGGCCGACCTAGGCTAAAGGGCCAGGTAGTGTGGAGCATCTGCACTGAGGAGAGTCACAGACCACATGCCAGACACTGATCTGAGCCCTTATCCTCACTAACATCCCATGACACTGGGCCACTAGTTGAAGGGACCAGCTTCCCTTTTGGCAGCCATAACAGCCGAACACGTGCTTCTGTGACCTTGTCCTAGACACTAGAAAGTCAAATGCCTGCCTCGTGACAAGGAACCAATCATAAGTTAGCTGGTGGTGCTATGCTTTGCGACCCTGGGTGTGCTTTATGGACAAGCACACAGCAATGACACACAAAGCATAGCAACCACCCTGGGAGGGCCTATGGGCCATAACAACCAGTTGACCAATCAACCCAAGGCAAGCACTCCAAGCCTGGAGGCACACCAATCGTGAGCCTGTGCATACCCCTAGCCACTCACCTTACGCTGTCCTATAAGATCTCTTGGGAGCCCTAGGAGCCGTCTTTTTCTAGCTATCCGCCATGGCGGGTGGGTGAAAGACCCGAGCTAACATGGGGTTAGCTCGTTAAATTACAATAAAGCCTCATGCAGTTTGCAGCAAGCTCTCGAATCTGCCTGGTGATTGGGGTGACCGCAGTCATGGTCTGGGACCCCGGATACCTGAGTTTTCCGGGGGTCTAACACTAGTACCCTTACTTTGCCAATGAGGAAATGATACTTATAAAGAGGGGAAATGTGTGGACATTTCCCGTCCTTTTCCCCATTGATTAAAACCCTGTTTGGGTAGCACTGACATTTTTATCATCTTAAAACAAAACAAAACAAAACAAAAAGCCAGTATGGGCTGGGAAGGTGTTTCCGTAGGTAAGATGCTTGCTGTGTAAGTATGAAGACCAGAGTTAGACTCTCCACAGGGTGGTAGCAGGTGCATGCACCTGTAATCTCAGTGCTCCTGTGAGGAGATGAGAAGTGGAGACAGTAGAATCCTTCCCCGGAAGTTCTTGGGCCAGGTAGCTTTGTGTATGCATCAGAAAAGGAAAACAAAGCCAACCTGTCTCAAACACCTAAAGCAAAGACTGACACCTGAAGAAGTCCTCTGACCTCCACATATGCCTGGTGATTTGTACATACCAATATCCACACCCATTAATGCACATACACATAATGACTTTTTAAAAATGCATCATATAAACTTTCAAACACTGTCAAGAGTCCAGACAGAAACAAATGTCTCTCGCATCCTGTTCTCCACCTCCAATACTTTCTGAGTCTTTACTAGGTGCAAGACCTCTGCTAAACTTTTTAAATTCTTCATCTAGTCCTCAAAATGTGGATAGTATCATTATTATTAACCCCTCTTAATAATATCCAATGAGACAGAATTAGTGAAGAAAGCATCT